CCCTCCGTGTTATTCTTTAATCGCACTTACCCAATGAACATGTGTGCGCATTTGTGTCGAACGCAGGAAACGGGAGGAGGGCAAGGAGGGAGTGGGGTACAGTTGTACAACGATCAAAACAGCACATGTTTTTTGTTTCCTACATGTGTTTTCTTTCCCAATTATGCTCGAACCTCCGAGTCACACAGAAAAGAAGCGGAACCCAACACATCCTTATCCTGATCGACGGTAGAGAGCAAGGAGGTGGGGGGCAGGCAGACTTTTTTTTCTTTCCCAAAATAGGGCCTCATGCTCTTTATGTTTGGTATTGTTTGTGTGCATTTCCTCCTATAGCTTGGGCAGGCCTTGCGTGGAGGGCAGGAAAAAAGACAGCAGCCCGACAGCCTTTGATGCTCATGTTTTATGGTCCCATGTAAACGCATTGTCTGTTAAGTCCTTTTGTTATCCCTCTGCCTAATTAAGACCTCAGAGCAACTTGTTGACTCCACAAAGACCCTTATTCTGGGAGGGGGCGGGTGGTGTGTGTGTGTGTGTGTGTGTATTTGTGCATGTGGGTGTGTCGCCTTTGATTGGGATGTAGTTTGAGAGAAAAGTTCATTTCTCCTACAAACAAAAGCACAGCCATTCATTTTCTGTTTGAGGGCCGTTTGAGTGGAGAAGAACTTATCTCTAGCTGCAGTTACGTTCAAAGTAAGAGCACTTAACACACTCAATCATCCCATTGCATGACGTACACATGCTCCAGACAAGTATGTCGAAGTGGCAATGCAGTACCGACTATTGTTTGATATTTTTTTACAGTCCCTCTTTCATTTCTGCCATCTTCCTCTGAGTCTCTCCAGCAGGAATATGGTGATGTCAGTTTGCTGTTAATCCACGACTCTGAGCAGATACGCTACTCCTACACACACTGCCGCGCGGCTTACTCGTGTAACGTTGATGTCTCTGATACCAACAGATGACGGAATGGTCACCTGTCTCTGAGACATACTGTACATGAAGAAGACAGATAGAGAGACGGGCACTAACAAACGGGAGCAAGTCCCACTCACCCAGCAGACAGGAACTGTTTTTACTGTATATTTTCATTTTTAGCCACCATGGGTTGGACTTCAGAGCAATCTGGATAGTGCAGAGAGGTTCTAAATGATTAACAAAAAAAATGAAATCAGCATTCATGATTTATTTATGCATTAAAACCTAATTATGAACAGTATCGGTAGCAAGAGGAAATGTTTTTTACGTTCACTGTACACACCTTAAGTCGGAGCTTCTCAACTTTGCGATGGGGACAACAAGTGGGGTCATTTGACATGCAGATTTCAATAAATCATATTAGTATATAAAAAATACTTACTAGTATTTATTGTTTAACGGCATACTTGCCAACCCTCCCAATGTTTCCTGGGATTTCCCCTCTCCCAATGTCCTCCCAGGGTCACAGTCCTCCCGTATTACTTCCAATTCAAAAACCTTTTTTCCTTTTCGTTTTCACAACCTGTTTCTGTCACTGCGCAGCGTGTATACGCCCTACTGTTTCCATCCAGACAGCAACATTACCAAACCAAATGTTCTTTGCTGGCAGCCGCTGACACATTGAAAAGCACTCATGGGTACTCGGAGAAAGACTCAAACGGGGGCAAACAATGAATGAATGAGTAAATCAATTCATAAAATGCTGATTTACCCAAGTGAGGTGAATTCTTCTTCTTCTGTATTTTTCCTGAGAGTTAGAAGTAAAGTGGAAAGTGTTGCAGTGTACTAGAATTCACCAGAATGCAGGAAACAGTCTTCGAAATTCCGCTTTGGTTTTAAATTCTCCATATTTTTGAGGCGTCCAGATCGAAAAGTAGGTTAAAGGGTGCTCAATACAGAAATCAGAGCATATCTATTGCCTCCACAGGGTTCTCAACATGGCGACAGCTGAGCCGACGGCTAACAGCACAAGCTACAGAACTGTTTACCTGGAGGGAGGTTATGCTAAGGGTGGTAGCTATTAGCTAGCCAGTCAGCCTGGCTATGTAAATAAAGCACAGAGAAGCTGTGGCTTCATTTTCTGCTCGGGTAGATAACACTCCACTAAATCTTTGCTTAGCAAGAAGTGATCTGCCGATATATGAATGACCCGAATCCTGTATGTAAAACCTTTAAGACAAATACTTGTTGTCATAAATATATGATGTCTTTGGAGTTTCCTCCGTGCCCTTGAAAATACAATTTAACAGTATGCCTTTCTCAAATTCACGTGACGATTTGACAACCCTAACTGCTGGGCTCTGTGTGTGTCCATATGTGCCTGCACAAAACTATTTGTGTGATTTCAATCACTCGGACCGCTGAAATCCAGTCACTCAACACATTTTCGGTCCGTGTTTTCTCATTATCTATTTTCACTCAAAGCACACATCGTCCAAACACGCTGCCGTCAAATATCCAAGGACATGTTTCGGGGTTTTTTCTGACAAATAAATCACTTGAGCACCAGTGCACAGCACACAGAGAGCCTCCTTGAAAAAACAAACACAAGTGCATGCCATACAGTCACTATTGTATGCAAGTATGAGTTTGTGTGTGTTGTTTGCTTCCAGTGGTTTCTGTTTCAGTGTTTAGCTCCATACCAGTGGGTTTTCATTTGTGTTGACACAGATGTGCTGCTTTGAGTCAAGGGACATGTGTTTTGGGACTCCTCTTCATGCAAACTGAGTTTGGTTTCCTTCTGTTTCACTTTGCATCATGTTGCAGAATTGTGACCGATAAGGCAAGCCCTGATAGAAAGCAGCAGTTTATCCATGTTGACACATACAGTTAGATGTTTACTGTGTATTTTTGTGTACATGAATGCATACCTGTTTCTCTATGTGTGTGTGTGTGTGTGTGCTCTCCTGTCAGGGCCACATGTTTTGCTCTTGCATGGTAAACACATTGTCCATTGATTCTTGAATGTAGCCAAATGTAGCTTGTCAAAAGCAAGCCACTTTTTACGACAAGGAATCATCTATAGACCAAGCCTGACCATCACTGTTTGACCTTGAGACTAAATCAGTCTCCCTCTCTGTCACAGGTTGTCCCATGCCCAGAGGTCGGCTGTAAAAGTCCTCCGCAGAATGCAGTACTTTGTGGCCAGGAAGAAATTTCAGGTAAGCAAAAGTAAATCCAGTGGAGAGAAATTCAACAGAGTTAAAGAGAACAAAAGAGGGGGAAGTTGCAGAGAGAGACAAATTGAGAGAGGGAGTGCGAGAAGTGTGTGTGTGTGTGTGTGTGTGGTGTGTGTGTAGTGTTTTTGCGGTTATACAGGATGAACAGGGGGAGCCCCAAGGGGCATATGTCAGCTGCAGCGCTGCATGCGTGTGTACGTGTGTTTGTGTGTAAATGCCTGAAACTTGCACCTGCATGTTGTCTTTGTGCTCACTTCAGTTCAGGCGAGGTATCAAGGGAAGTCTACTAACCTGTCTCTTGGGCTACAGTAGGAATTCACTTACTGTACTGCACCAAAATACACACTTGCAGAAACACACACAGCAGGTCATTGCCTCATGCAGCACTAAAGGCAGCAGACTTAGGTTCAAACATTTTGTGGAGTGAAGTATTTCAGTTTAAAAAAAACCCCAACCTAATCATGTTTGAGATACTTTGGCCATAATTTTCATGCTACATGTTATTGTCGAATGGTTCTTATATTCTTACTGTTTCCAAGTGGTCTATATGTTTTCAATTATGGCCCTAAGTGACTTCAGCTGCTGAGGCTACACTCTGTGTACACCAAGGATACCCTAAAGAGTTCACTGGGTTCTTTCTGATGCTGCTTGTATCCATGTCACACTAAACAAAGCTGTGAAAGGACCTTAACACGATTGCTTTCTACATGACCATGCACTTGTCAGTGCACACACACACACACAGACACACACAAACACACACACACAGACACGCACACACACAATGAGTTAACAATGAACCGTTTGCACCCAAGGGGGTTGGGGATGTTTTCGGGGACCAAGCAACAGCGGCTATGGTTGACAATGGCTTTTGTCTCCCTCCGTGTGTGTGAGTGTGTGTGTGTGTGTGTGTGTGTGTGTGTGTGTGTGTGTGTGTGTG